GGTACCCTGAGTTCTCATAATTCCTGCAGCCCGGTCATCCCAAAGCACTGTCAAAACGCGGACTTAACCCTGAGCCTAAACCCCTAAACTGCCGTTTTCAAGCGGCGCACTACTTGTGGCCGCCTGACACCGGTGCAAGTTGTTTGGGGACGTCGTCCGGGATGTGAAAGAGGGTATCATCGTCTATGTCCATCCCATCTTGGTCGTCCACCGATTCCTTGTCTGCACGTGCAACATTTTGAGTCTCGTCGTCTGCCACTCCTTCTATGTCATTGCGAACTCTCCTCACCAGCGAAACGAATCTTGGGGTAGCTTCCTTCATGCCGCACTTGGATGTGCTGCCTTCCATTGCACCACCTGTTTTCGGCGTTGTTCCACGCATCACATTATCGGGCTTGGTACTCGCGATAGTGCCGCCAACATCTTCCTCCATCGCTTGTTCATCACCCATAGCGGACAGCGGAGGCGTTTCGTCTCTCACTGCATTTTGATGTGCATCCGGCAATGGCAGGTCAATCTCCTCATCCTCTGTCTCCTCCTCACTGTCCATAATGTCAAACTGCTCCCCAACGTCCATTACCTCGTAGTAAACCTTGGCATCAATTTTGTCTCGCTTCCTTTCAAACCACAAGTGTTCACATCGGCCCAGAAATATCTCAATTGCACCGCATTTGGCGTTGTGATATCCTTGTAGATGCTGGATCGCTATCACCTTACGGTGCAGATAATCTGCATCTGTTGGTGTTGCAGGTGCATTGCAGAAAAGATAGCTCCACAGATAGTCCCTCTTTTTGCCGAGCTTCAGGAACATCTCTCGGTCTGCACGATGTTGAGGTTTCGGCCGTTCAAAGTGACACCTGTTATCCGGATTGTGAACGTGGCGATCGATAAACAAAGTGGAGTACTCCATCAGGTTTGAGGAACCATCACATTCGACGACATGGCGTCCTGAGCACAGCAAGTCCCACGTTGTTCCTGCCTAAACGTTGCCCAGTAATAGAACACCTTCCCCTTCCTTCGAAAACCAGGTGCACAAGTCTTTCATTTTTGCTGGTTCTCTCTCCCATATCCCGTACACAGGTTTGCTATCGCCTCGCACGCTGATTGCCTCTTTTGTACATTGTACAAATAACTCCTCCACGTAATGCGTGTCGAAGAGAGTATTCCCACGAGGCTTTGCGACCGTGACCTTTCTCAAGTCGTTGTCTGTATCGTGCAGCACAATGGTCATGGAGTCGTGCCCTCTCAACGGAAGGTTCCCAACTTGAGCGCCAATCTTCCCTGGGCAGCCCCTTTTCACTCTCTCTGTGTCTCCCTCGCGCCGCTCCCCCCCCCCCCCCCAACCCCCACGCATGCGTTCACTCGCTCACTCGCGACTATTGGATCCACGGTGTGACGCACGTGCAGAGGGCACGTGCGGAGATGGTGAGAGAGAGAGAGAGAGAGGAGATGGACACACACAAGAAGCAGCAGCTGAGTGAAGGTCCAGTCCGGCTCAATGAACAAACGAACAACTGAATGAATGAACCTCATGCCCTGGGCCTAGGCCGAAGTGATATACCGGCCTAGGTCCAGGTGCGGAACAACCTGGTACCGGACCAGGGTCAGGCCGACGGCCTGAAACTAATCCGGCCTCACTGCCAGGCCATAAGGGTACCGCTACACGATCCTCGGACCTGTGAATGGATCAAGCAATACATCAAACACGCTATCCGTTGAAATAGCGGAAACCCAAAAGGACGGCAAAAGAAACAATCCTAGATGCGGAGCAAGCTCCTTGCAGGAAGAGGGATGCAATGCAGACTAAGCCTCAAGCCTAATCTATACCATAATGTCTGCTCTGTGTCGACCCAAAAAGTAGAAAAATGTCTGACCTGTGTCGGCCAAGAAAGAGGAAAATGTCTCCTGAGCCAAAAAGGATGAATATGAATCAACACCAGGGCCCTAAAGGCCAAAGGATAACTAAACCACTGTCCTAAGTCGAAAACGAATGTGGCACAACCTCACGTGCCCTGTACACAATGCACAATACCTTAACAAAAGAGAAAGGGACTCAGTCGCATGGCAGAAGTAGGAATGGGTGGGAAGGCGGCAGGTACAGCTCTCGGAGTAAACTCCAAGGGGGCACCCACACAACCAGGTAAGGGTCATCAGGCTCAGAGGGAGGGTAACAGCACGACACCGGGCTCAATGGAAACCATCAAACGGGTACCGCCAGCTGAAAGAGGAAGGGCACTCACACAAGGGAGCACACATAAGGTGAGCCTGGAAGGAAAGAAAGGGCCATGCCGGCATAGACATGTGGCCAGAAGCCGCGAGCAAAGAAAACGTACACTCCGGAGGAGGGCGCGCAGCATAAGGTAAGGCAGAAGGGCGGCAAGCGGACACACCCACATAGACAGGGAAAATAGGGGTCATCATGCGACTGGAGGAAGGGGTAACCTCGAGGATAGTGGATAGGTGGAAATGGTGGGAACTTTGAAGCTGACCAAGTGAAGTAGTCCAACTGATGAGTCTCCAGACTGAAGTCGGACCGAAGTAGCCTGGATGAAGTAGGAGTACCGCAAGAACCGAGTAGAAGTCCGCAAGAAAGCGACAGGTACTCTGGTACTGAGGAGAAGCACTGAGGTCGAAAGTCGAATGTAGAAGCCGAATGTAAAAGCTGAAACTGGGGGCTGCTGCATAGGTATCCAGGAATGGTAAAAGATAGAGAGTGTATGGGGGATATAGATCAGTCACGAAAACGAGAAGGAAGTCGATGGGTACGCTGAGGGCGAGAGGAATGAACTGCAACAACAGGCGGGACCACAGGGGAAGGAGGACCTGAGGCGGGTACCGGTGGAGCAGGAGGACCCATCGATGGAGGNAGGCGGGTACCGGTGGAGCAGGAGGACCCATCGATGGAGGAGGGGGAATGTTAGTGGTCGCAGAGGTAGAAGGGTCAGTAGTAGAAGGGCGAGAAGTAGGAGGGGAGGATGAAGAAGGGAAAGGACGAGCACGATCGTAAGCACGCACGAAAGTCATAGCATGCTTCAGGTGCTCAAGAGGCTCCCAAGTAGACTCCTCGTCATGATAACCCTTCCATCGAACGAAATACTCGAGGCGGGGAGGGTCACCATTAGTCATACGTCGGGACGCAATATCAGAGACGACAAACTCCTCGTGAGTCGTGACCCTCAATGATGATGGGAGAGGGGCGAGGGTAAGGCCGACCGTGGAACTCGGGGGGAGACCGTCTGAAGGGGCGCAAAAGAGATACATGGAACACATCATATAAGTTAGCGCGGTACATGGAATCGGGGAGCTTCAATTTGAAGCTCACCGGACAGTCATGATTGGGTCCGGCAGGTGCAAGAATGGTGCATGGTCCAATATCTCGACGTCTGAATTTTCGAAGTGTGTCAGCTTCGGGCTGGAAGTGATGTGCGTCGACAAGAACCTCGTCGCCAACTTTGAAGGGATGGTCGATGTGAGAGCGGTTAGCGCGAGTGGCCATGCGAGTCTGGGAGTGAGCAATGCTCTCGCGAGCCTTGCTAAGAAGCGCATCCATCTCCTTTACCGAGTCATCGAGGGCAGGGCATTTGGTGTCGGGATGGATCTGAGATGGACGGAGGAGGTCAAATGGAACACGAGGATGGTATCCCAAGTCACAGTAGTAGGGAGACATGCCAGTGGCAGGTGAAATAGCATGGTTAATACGGTTGAAGTATAGGGAGGCGATGTTTTGGCTGAACTAGCATACTTGCAAGGGAGGAAGTGAGCATGCTTAGTCAACCGGCAGACAACGACGAAGATGGCGTCGTGGCCTCGTGGGGTAGGGGGACGAAGAGGACCGATGAAGTCCATGGAGACAGAAGTCCAACGATGAGTAGGAATGGGTAAGGGTTGAAGAAGACCGTAGGGGGGGTGGTTGGGAATGTTGGCCTCCTGGCAGATCCTGCAGGTGCGGACGTACTCCTCCTTAGTGAAAGGACGACGGTGCTCCCAGTAGTAATGGCGGTAGAGACGGTCAAGTGTCTTGAAGACACCGAGATGACCGGCGGCGCGCTGGTCATGACACTCAGCGACGGCCTGAACGCGGAACTGGCCAATAGAGGGCACGCATAAGCAGGGAGTACGAGTACCTTGACAACCACGCCAATATAGGAGTCCAGAGGGATCGAGCTGGAAGTGAGGGACGGGCTTGCCGGCCTGTAGGTCAGCGTAGATGGACTGAAACTCAGGGCACTAGTTGTATGCGCGACGGTACTCATCTAGGAAGGCGGGGTGGATGGTCGGAGCTTAGATAGCAGATAGCTGACGATCCTCGCATCGAAGGTCGGGGCGGCGGGATAAGGCATCTGCAACACGATTGCTTTCGCCGGAAATCTTCTTGATGGTAAAGTTGAACTCTGAGAGGTCACGCCACCAACGAGCCTGGCGAGAAATGAGCTTAGGCTTCGTCTGGAAGGCGGCGAGGACAGAGTTGTCCGTCAAAACGGTGAAAGTATGACCGTGCAAATGATGACGCCACTTCTTAACAACGTAGACCAGCGCAAGGACCTCACGCTCGTCGGCAGTATAGTTACGCTCAGTGGGAAGTAGTTGTCGAGATAGATAAGCAACCGGACACTCTCCATCGCGAGACTCGACTGTACCGTCATCAGCGACGTCAGGAATATAAGGGGGTGGGGCCCCCTGGGGGAGTGGGTTCGATGGGTACAAGATGAGCCGCAGTCGCTGGAGGTGGAGGAGGGAAGCGAGGAATGCGAGGGAGGAGAGACTCTATGGAATCAGGAGAAGTAGAGAGGGCTAGGTAGATCCGGGAGAAAACAGCTCCAATAGCGAAGTCGGATGCGTCAGTGGTGACGATGAATGGACGCGAGTAGTCGGGTAAGTGTAAGAAAGGAGCTGACGTGGCAAGCCGCTTGAGAGAGCGGAAAGCATCCTCATGAGCCGAGGTCCAATGAAAAGGTAGACGTCCGCGGGTCAGAGGGGTAAGCTGGGAAGAATACTGCGTGTAGTTCTTAAGAAAATGACCATAGTAGTTGGTCAACCCAAGGAAACTACACAGTGCAGGAAGAGAAGTAGGAGTGGGTCAGTCGACAATGGTCTGAATCTTCGAGTCGTCCATGTGGAGTCCGTGCTCGGAAACCTGATGCCCAAGGAAGTCGACTTTGGGTTGAGCGAAGTGGCATTTGAAGAGCTTCGCATAAAACCCATGGTCATGTAATCGTTGGAGGACAGTGCGAAGGTGGGTTAGATGCTCCTCTAAGGTACGACTGTAGACCAGGATGTCGTCGATGTAGACTAGAACCGAGTCCTCAAGAAGGTCTTGGAACATCGTGTTCATAGCCGTCTGGAAGGTGGCAGGGGCATTACGGAGACCGAAAGGCATGACGGTAAACTCGTAATGCCCAAAACGAGAACGAAAAGCGGTCTTAGGCTGGTCCTCCTCGGCTACACGGATCTGGTGATATCCGCTACAAAGATCGATCTTCGTGAAAAAGTGGTGGTCGGAGAGGCAGTCGAACAGATCATCCGCACGGGGCATAAGATAACTGTTTCTGACCGTATATTCGTTGAGACCGCGATAATCGAGGCAGAGGCGGAGAGTGTCATCCTTCTTGCGATCGAAGAGGACAGGTGCACTCCATGGGGACGTACTCAGTTTAATGAAGCCCTAACGAAGCAGCTCGTCAATTTGGCGTTTAAGTTCATGGGCTTCGGGAACCGAGAGGCGATATGGGGCACGATGCTGAATACGGTAGTTAGGTTCGAGCCGGATGTGGTGCTCGATATTGCGCATAGGAGGGACGCTGCTATAAGAGACAGTCGGAGGAAAAACATCGCGATACTCGCGAAGGAGGGCCGCAACG